AAACTTTTCCTTTATGGATTAGTAAAAATTTTTGATTATTGTTTAAAAATTCTAATATTTCTTGATTATTCATTTTTAATTTAAATATAATAAGTAAACAAAATTTTAGTTCTTTTATATTTAAAAAATGTTGATCTCTTTAAAAATAAACCGACTTATTAAATAACTTCTGTATATATATGTAATAAAAAATTTGTATTTTTAATTTTATTTAATTAAAAATAAATAAAATTTTATCTATTTTTATGAAAAAAACAACTCTTAGAAGTGTGATTGTTCTTTTTACATATATTACAATAAATAAATTCCCTACAGGAACCCAAGTGCACAAAGTTACAAAACGTACACTTGTTATATTCGCAGTTTCTAAAAAAATGTTTGTCTGAACCACATGCCTGACAATGTTTTTTAAAGCGACAATTCTTATAATAATGATTATTTTTACCACAAAGTTCACAAAATACCAGAGAACCTTCGAAAGGATTGAAGAAATAATCCTGCAAAATCTTATCGGGGGGTGGACCCCAACCATCATCAGAACTAAAAAAATAAAAATAATAAATAAACAAATTAAAAAATAAAAAAAAAATAAAAAAATTACTTCATTCTGATTTTTATTTTTTAGTAAATGAACAGTAAAATATCATTTCTTTTATAATAAAACGTGCATATTTATGCATATATTTATTTAAAATTTATTTACAAATCTTTATACTTGGCTTTATTATCAATTTTATAATGCCAATCCTTAACAAAGCCGCCAAATTTCTCAATATATAAATCTCTTTTCTCAATAATATTATATAAATTACGTCTAATAACCTTAATAAAATCAACTTTGACGAAATCACAAATTTTCATTCTACCACATTTTTTGTAAAATTGATCATTTAAATTCCTAATGTAACCTAAAAGATAGGTGCAGTGTGTGCACATGTCGCTTTTTTCTATCAACTTTAAGATTTTTTCCTTCACGTAAATAACAAGATTACAATACACGCAATTATTTTTATAGACTTTGTAGCGCAGTTTATAGTTACAATATTCACGTAAGATGCGTAATTTGAAATTAACAACATGGATAAAGTCATGCTCTCTCAATAACCCCTTGTAACAAGGACATATTATCATGTAGTTTTTGACAAAAATTGGTTTGTAACCTTTGTGTCTTTTTGGGATTCTGAGACCGCAATCCTCGACAACCTTTCGCCAGAAAGGATGCTCGTCAAGGGCTTTTTTCCAAGATTTACAAACCAACAAACATCTTTGAAAAGTGTATAGATCAAAAATATGATTAAAAACAAGATAAATAGGGTGAACAAATTCATCCTCAGAATCTATTAAAAAATTTCTCTTTCGTTTCATTTTAAATTTTACTCAACGATATAAAAATTCATATTTATAAACTTGAAATTACCAAAATAGATTTCTATATTAGGAAATTTATCGATCAACAATGAACTGGAAATCGAAGTTTCCATCGTTCGAAACAGCTATGACCTGGAACAAGATCACGAATTCTGATAAACCCAAACTGAAATTGAATGAATATCGTATGGTGAAGATCAATAACAAGTTGTACCTTGAGGTGAAAACCCAGAACCCTTATATCACATTCCTCATGGACTACAAGCACTTTGAATATTTAAAAAACTATACTTGGTATGCTTATAAACCAAAGAAAGCAAATACATATTATATTAGAACAAATATTTATAAAAATATTATAATATTTCATCGTTTATTACGTCCAAATTGGAGAATGATTGATCATTTAAATCGAATTGGTTGTGATAATAGAGAACAAAATTTAAGAGAGACAAATCATCATTTGAACGCTTTAAATTGTAAATTATTTAAACCTAATACTAGTAATTATAACGGTATTAATTATGATAAAACACATAAATGTTAGAGATTTATATGATACGAAAATAAAAAACCAAAAGCAAAATGGTTTAAAACAAAACAAGATGCAATAAATTTCAAGTTAGAACACGATAGAAAAACTGGTAATCAAAATGGATACTTTAAAGTTGATATGTATTAGCTACATTTTTTAAAAATAAAAATGCATTGCCCGAGTCAAACTACAAGGAGGTTACATATCGCTTGACTCAAAAAAAAAAAAAAATCGAGTCGGTTCCTTTGAAAGGGAGGATTTCAACGGCCCCTAAACCATAAATTGTATCATCCTTATCGAACACTTGCTCAATTTTCGTCAAGAAAGAAGAGCCAGCTTAATGAGGCTGACCATCGAAATTGCAAAGAAATGCTGCCATTAATATCGTTCTGAGAGACCCAGTTCCCACAAAACTCAAGTAAATTCTAGGCAGCGCTTCTGTACTGGATCTATGTCTCTTACGCAAAACGTACGAGAAGACATGACCACGCCCAGGAGTTACAGAGAAACTTTACCCGACAACACAACTCAAAGAGTGATACCAGCAACTCTTATCATCGTTTTTGGCGAGAATCGCACTGGGCTACCAACTACGTTCTCGTTGGATTTTTGAAGGAATGAAAAAAAAAAATTTGACCCTTTCGCCCATGTCAACCAGAGAAATATGAATAGACTTCACCAAAGAGATGGTTATCTTATGCGTAATTTCGCCGCCACACATCATGTTTATCTCTCATACGAGACTACGCTTCTCCCTATTCGAATATTAAGATGTGGGTGTTCTCCACCATCTCTCTGATAAAACCACGAACAAAAGGGTGAGAAATCACAAATTGGGCGTAAATTGTGGGTATTTGTACTGTCGATCAAACTATATGAGTCATCATACATGCATAAGTATCAACCAAATCCAGTAATCAGCTGAGTCGTCAAATAATTTTTACATTTTAAAAGTAAATTATTTTTATTGTTTAGACATATTCACATGTGTACTACAACTATGAAATTTCTAATTAAGATTAATATTCACACGCTTCATTTAAAAAGTAAATAACTAATTTGGTAAATAGAAATAATTGAAATAAAATACGTATACGCTGTGAGAAAAACGAATAAAAGATACAGAAGAAATAAATTATACATGCAATTCACATGAAATAAAAAACTATCAATCCAAGAAAATAACTCTTAAATGACCTACCCATTAAAGCATAATTGTTAAAAAAATGTTAAAAATACCTCCTTTCTTTTGTAAAATCTTACAATTCAATCAATAACCGTTAAAATGTTAAAAGCAATCATCGTCCTCCTCTTCCTGATCTATATCTATCTCAAAAAAATCATTTTTTTTCTAATTTATATCTATCTTAAAGTCATCCTCTTCCTATTTTATCCTTTTAAAAATTTTATTAATCACTTTATCGTCTACCTAATTTATATCTATCTCAAAGACTTTTTTATTTGGATTTCCAATCTCATTATTTCTCTGTTGAACGATTCAGAAGAAATGTACTATTGTTATCAAAAATCAACAGATATGAATAATTCTGAAAAGAACGAAAACAAGACATTTAAATATTATCAAAAATCGGCAAAAATGAATAATTCTAACAAAAAGAAGAAAGAAAGAAAATTACTTAATTTATTAGAAACTAATAAATTTAATTAAAAAGTGTGATCTTTTAACAAATTTGTAATTTTATTATTTTAAAAGAATAAATAAAATTCTTATTTAATTTTTCATATATTCTATATACTTAAGAATGACGATAACCACATCAGATGAAACAGAACCTAAGGTATTGTGGTTATACATACAATAAAAGAAAAAAAATAAAATAATAAAACAGCATATATTATTCTCTCTTTTTTGTCTCTCTTCTCTTTCTTTTTGTCTCTCTTCTCGCTCGTATTGTCTTTGCTTTTCTCGTTCCTCACGTTCTCTTGCTTCTCGTTTTTCTCGTTCCTCACGTTCTTTTTGTCTCTCTTCTCGCTCGTATTGTCTTTGCTTTTCTCTTTCCTCACGTTCCTTTGCTTCTCTTTTTTCTCTTTGTTTATTATGATTATTATTAATTCTAATCATCTCTTCAAAATTCTATTTCATCATTTTGTCTTCTTTCATGCCAGTTGTTAATATAATTATCGAGATAGTTTTCAACTTGTTCTCTGAATAAACAAGAAATTAAAAAAAAAACAAACAAAAGATAACAATAAAAAATAATCTTTACCGAGTCATGGTTAAAAAAATGCGATGAGATAAAACTAGAGACGACATTTTGAAAATTAACGTGAATAATATACAAAATAAAATATGATTAACCATATTTATAGATCAACACCATTCAAACTATGAACCTGACAAATTTAGATTCATACTAAATTTATTTTAAAATAAACAAAATGATAACGTAGAATGTGCTGGAATTTATGTACAAATCACATGCTTTATTTACAAATAATTAAATATAAATACAGTATAATTAGAAAAAGATACATTTAAATACGGTACTCCCAGTAGCCCTCACCATCAATCACCCTTCCGTTTCTCGACGAAGGGCTAACCACCACCTCCTTAAAATTGGTGTTCCGCACCACCTGATACACTCCCTCCATCTTCCACCCAATGTTGATGTCAGACATCCGTCTTATTCGAACAGGTATCCTGTTAACATCCAACCCTCGCTTTATCACCTCCTTGAAGCAATAAAGCCTTCGATTGTCTGAAGAATAGAAGACATCTTCCATCAAACAGACGTTAATGAGAGGAAAATCTTCCATTCTCACCTTGCCATCCAATAGATCCTGGATGGTGTTATCAAGGTCGTTGCCCGTCTGGAACACATTACTTATCGACGCCTGACTGTAATGTACCAAGCACGGGTCAACGAAAGTAACAACGTCTCCCTCCGAGAGATTTAACCACAGCAACAAGAATCTCTATCGGAACAAGAACAAGAAGCCGAAGATCCACACCAACATCGTCGAAAATAACGACGACAACAGCAACAATATCAATAACATCCACTCAAAAGTATAACTCTTGAACGATATTTCTATTACTGCAACAGAAGGATTCTCTTGTTCAACTTGCATTGAGAAAGGTTCAAAATCTTCCTTAATGCCGGTTGAACCAGAAGGTTCTTCCACATCCTATCCTGGTTCTGATCTTTGATCAATATCTGACCATCCCTCATAGTTAAATTCTTCAATGAGAACAGATCGAGTAACGACTTTTTTGTTGAATTTAGCAATAAGTCTTTTGAAAGAAGGCATTTTTTAAATATTTTTTGTAAAGTTGTAAAATTCAAACTGTCTCGATAAAAATTTTATATTTAAATAAATTTTTCACTTTGCAAATCAAACTTTATTTCAAAATAATTGGTTCTTTACAAGAGAATTCTTAAAGTTTTTCCGAAAAATACAAGTTTTTTAAGATCAACTCAGAACGAAACTTCTAAATTTACACCCACAAATCAATAACATCCATTCAAAAATAAAAATAAATTTATTAAAATAAAAATACATAAAAGATTTTTATGTTCTGGTTGATCAAGAATGAACAGAAAATATATATTCTCGATCAACCAGAACATAAAAATCTATCAGAAAATAAACAGATCAACTGTCTATTCTCTTTACATTGAAGATAATTTCAATTTAATCGAATCTACAAATTCATTAAA